TATTTGAAAATTCTAAAGAAAAAGAACACACAAACACACAATGCCTCAGTGATTAACAGAACTGTTTCACAGATCACAGAACTATATCAGGGTGTCATTTCTCAGGCAGAAATGTAGATAAAAATAATGAAATCCTGTTTCCCAAACAAGTGCAAGAACCACAGAGTCAAGAATAGGTTAAATATACAAATAAAATAAAATCAATTAAAAACAATAGCACATCAACATAAAAACATATAAACATAAAGCTGGAGCCTGAGGACAGTGTCCAAAAGCACAACATCACTATTAATCATAAAACACCTCAAGTTATTTGAAAGTTCTGAGGACAAAGAACACACAAACACACAATGCCTCAGTGATTCACAGAAGTATATCACAGATCACAGAACTATATCAGGGTGTCATTTCTCAGGCAGAAATGTAGATAAAAATAATGAAATCCTGTTTCCCAAACAAGTGCAAGAACCACAGAGTCAAGAATAGGTTAAATATACAAATAAAATAAAAACAATTAAAAACAATAGCACATCAACATAAAAACATATAAACATAAAGCTGGAGCCTGAGGACAGTGTCCAAAAGCACAACATCACTATTAATCATAAAACACCTCAAGTTATTTGAAAGTTCTGAGGACAAAGAACACACAAACACACAATGCCTCAGTGATTCACAGAAGTATATCACAGATCACAGAACTATATCAGGGTGTCATTTCTCAGGCAGAAATGTAGATAAAAATAATGAAATCCTGTTCCCCAAACAAGTGCAAGAACCACAGAGTCAAGAATAGGTTAAATATACAAATAAAATAAAATCAATTAAAAACAATAGCACATCAACATAAAAACATATAAACATAAATCTGAAAGCGTTGCTCAAACTCCCGTAACAGTCCCGTAATTTTATCTTTGAACCGCTTCATGTCTGCCACATGTTGGGTCGCGCACACATTTTTCAGACAGGGGAAGTGAGCTGCATCACCACCGGCAAGTTACGTCTCCCACAATGACAGCTTCAACTTGAAAGAACGTATGCTGTCATAATACTGCGTGACAACTTTGTTGCGCCCTTGCAGCTGTTTGTTCAAGTTATTCAGGTGCTCTGTAACATCCACCATAAATGCAAGGTCCTGCATCCATTCTGCGGAATGAAATTCTAACACTGGTTTGCCCTTTTCTTCCATGAACTGTTCAATTTCTTCTCGTAAATCAAAGAAACGCCTCAGCACAGCACCTCGGCTTAACCATCTTACCTCAGTGTGGTATGGCAGGCCATAGATGTGGTCTTTCTCTCTGAGAAGGCTGTCAAACTGACGGTGATTCAGGCTTCTGGATCGGATGAAATTAACAGTTTGGATGACCACCTTCATGACGTTATCCATCTTTAATGACTTGCAACACAAAGCCTCCTGGTGCAAAATACAGTGAAAAGTCAAAAAATCACGTCCTCCATTTGCAGATTGCACTTTCTCTCTGAACTTTGTCACAACGCCTGCTTTTTTTCCCGATCATTGAGGGCGCACCATCTGCAGCCAGGCTGACAGCGCGGGACCAGTCCACTCCGACCCTGTCCAGCGCGCCGATGAGTGCGGTAAAAATATCAGCTGCTGTCGTTGTATCTGTCATTGGCACCAACTCCACGAACTCCTCGGTGACGGTCAATGTGTCATCAACTCCGCGGATGAAAATGGCCAGTTGTGCAACATCTGTAATGTCCGTGCTTTCATCAATTGCAACCGAAAACGCAATAAATGACTTTACTTTTTGCTTCAACTGGCTGTCCAAATCCACTGAAAGATCGGAAATCCTGTCTGCAACTGTGTTTCTTGTCAGGCTGATATTTGCAAAAGCCTGCCGCTTTTCAGGGCACACAATCTCCGCTGCCTTCATCATGCATGTTTTTACAAATTCACCCTCACTAAATGGTTTTGAAGCCACTGCGATTTCATTAGCAATGAGGTAGCTAGCTTTCACTGCAGCGTCACTGATGTCTCGGCTGTGAGTAAACACAGACTGCTGTTTCTTCAGACCCGCCAACAGTTCATTCACCTTCTCTCATCTCCGCTGTCCTTGAAAGTTGTCATATTTGTCGGCATGAAGACTCACATAGTGGCGACGAAGGTTATATTCTTTCAGCACTGCAACATGCTCTGAACACACCAAACATACAGCTTTCCCATTCAATTCCGTGAATAAATAGGATGACCATTTTTCTTGGAACACTCTGCACTCTGCGTCCACTTTTCTCTTTTTTGACAGAGACATATTGGGGCAATGAGGGTGCCAAAGCACATAATGTTAAAAGTAGAAGCCGTAATAAATATCGCGGGCAAAACAAAGTAGCTCATTGGCTGCACGTGCTTGACCTACTTGCTCTGCCCCGGTATAAACAGTTTGCTTGCTTAACACAATTGCTATTGCGCCATCCAGTGGACGCAATTGGAACAGCAGTTTATTTTAATTGAAAAATTGCAGCGCATTTTTATACTTTAAAAAAAATAAAAAAAGTAATTTTTTATTTATTTATTTTTTTTTAATTTTTTTTTTAATCATCTCGCGGGCCGGATGTAAACCCGTTTGCGGGCCTGATCCGGCCCGCGGGCCGGACGTTTTGACACCCCTGCATTAGACTATTAAGATGCTTCCAGTCTCTGGGTGTTTGTGGCTTGATCTGTGCACCACTAGAGGGCAGCGTCTTCAAGCGAGATGAGGTGTGTCCTGACTGCCCCAAAGCACTAGCCACCTCTTTCCTAAATGGATACAGCGATTATAATGTGTAAAACAGCTAGAGGAAACTAACAGAGTCGTTGTCACACCAGATGTTAGTCACACAGAGAGGTGGCAGTGTTTGTATTATTGGCGCACCTCAAAAAGAAACGGAGTCCCGCCATTCTACAGTTCCACAGAAAGACAGAGGAAACATGTTTGCTCATGCCGCAGGGCGCAATGTTTCAGAGGAACAGCAGGAGCGATGAGAGGGAGGTAGGGAGGAGGGGAGGAGGGAGGCTGAGGGAGTCTGGTGGCCACATGTCCCTTCTATTGCTCAGTGCTTGGTTTGGCAGGGTAGGGTTACATGCTAAGATTCACGGAGAGGCTGAAATAAACCCTCTCCAAACACAGGGGCGGGTGGTTGTGTGGTGAGGACAGGCCCTAGCCTCCCACATCCCTCAGCTTTAGCTCAATTAGACCTCCTATAGCAGGGTTCCCCATCTGGCGGCCCTCGGGTCCGAATTTGGTCCGCGGGTGATTTTATTTGGCCCCCCAAGTTAATGTTGTTTCATTGCTGGACATAAAAAAACTGTAAAAAAACAACGGCAAAACCAGGCTCCAATGGATTTTAATATTACAAATCTGTTCAAAAGTATTCCAATGGCTAATAGAGAGATATATGTGATCGTATGCAAATGTTAGTAAAGTTTAAAATGATTACGTTTTTAGCCAAATATTATATATATTGGGCTTCTTGTGACCAATTTGCAGTTCACTAATTATTTGTAATCATGTTCCGGCCCCCTGACCATCCATCAAGAACAAATTGGCCCGTGGCTGAATCTAGTTGATGATCCTGGGCCTATATTATTGTATACTCTTCTGAACTCCCTCGTCACACACACACCACACACACACACACACACACACACACACACACACACACACACACACACACACAAATTAGCATATATTTCAAATGTTATGCCAAAACATATGGATAAAAGATTCATGGAATAATCTGTAAAAGGAGAAAAACAACAGTAAAAGCTAGCGATCCTCAACCAAAGAGATGCACAGATATCCGCCAGACAGTCTCAAACAAAACACTGCAGGGTGGGATCAATTCCATTTGAATTCCAGTCAATTCCAATTCCAATTATCTTAAAATTATTTTCAATAGGAAAATGTGGAATTTGAATTTGGTTTACATTCTGAATTGATTGGAATTGACCCCAACCCTGAAAAGCTGTGCAACATTAGCTGCCTGTAAAACATGGAAAGAAGACTTTAATTGCCGTTTGCCATCATTTGAAATGTTTCCACTCCTCTGAAGAACACGTTCCCTGCCAAAAGAGAAGTCAAAGTCATAGCGGAGTGGGGGAACCACATCAAACAGACTTTGTGTATGAATCTGTCAGCGTTGAAGGGCTATTACTATAGTAGCAGCACTGTGCCTTAGGGAGGATCCTGTCAATTTCCTCATTAAAGGGCCTTCACTGCACTGTGAGGCTTTAGATGGTTCACTCAAGGCACTGCAACTGTCTCTGTTCTGTAGGCTTTTACATAACCTCAGAGCACTGTGCTTCAAGCAGTATAATGTGTAAGAGAGAGGGTAGGTGTGTGTGCGGGGGTGTGTAAGTGTGTGTGCAGTGTGCAGACCTATGTCCATGAGTGTGTATTGAACATTGTGTGTGCACATGCGGCGTGCGTGGTGTGTGCGTGAGTGCGTGCGTGTGTGCGGCGTGTGTGTGTGTGTGTGTGAAAGAGTGTCAGAGGGACACTTAGGAGCATGTGTGAAATCAGCACCGACATACTAACACATCAGACCCCTTGACAAGCCTTCTCCTGTGAAACAGTTATTAGAAAAGCATCCGCAACAGAACATGACACTGACAAAGCTTACACGACTTAACAACCTTTTCCCATCCAAGAAGCACACACAGCAGGGATACCGCCAGCCAACCCACACTAACATGGAATGGAGCTCCAACCGGCCACACCAAAAACAGCAAGACCTCCCCACCCTCAGTGCTTCAATCCTGGGTTAGCATCACCGGGCTGGCATGTGGACCCAACCTCCATGGAGGATCATGAACCTGTCTGTCTCCTGTCACATCAGACTGCTGTCACCCACACATTCAACCCCATCCCCATACCCCCCACTGTGCCTGAAACAGC